TCGATGTCCGCCATGTCCCTAAGACAGGAAGGCGTATGAAAGACCTCCAGCGCTCTGCGGCTCAACATTAAATAATGTCCGGTTTACGGGTTATTATTATCCCCCCCCCCGGAATGCACCTTCCCAAACTCGTTCTATTTCAGTTGTTGGTTGGTCGCGATGAAAGCGGACTGCAGGTGGTTGTCTGTCAGTGCACAACTAGTCCAGGCACAGTCCGGGAATGTATTGCCGAGGACGGCTTTGTGGAATAGACGTCTGCTTGGTCGGCTTGTTTTTCTGCTGTCGGTTTTCAGCCGGGACAACAGTCACAGCGGTCTTCTTGTTTCCGGCTCCCTTTCTCACACCGGTGGGCGCTACGACGGGCGGCGCGGACTCAGCGAGTATGTCCTTCTTCACACCCGCGATTAAGTGCGTCAACAACCGATGCTTCCCCAAACTGCAGTAGCTAGATCGCGCACACACGCTCGTTATTAAATCAATGGTCTCGTGATCGTCATTCACGGCAGAAGCCGCAGACAGCACAGCCGTGGTCATGTACTTGCTCAACTTGTTCTTGCCCACTCGACTCGCTTGAATATCTTCATACTTCACCAAGAGACTAAAACGACGTGAGTGTGCAGACGAGATTGGTCGTGCTGACGGTGTGTTCGTGATGACGTGGATGGGAGCAGGGTTTTCAAAACGTACTCGCAATATTCTTTGCGGAGCCGGTTCACATCGTAGTCAATTTTCTGCTTTTGCGCGGCAGTCATAGTATCCCACTCTTCAAGGTTGTTGTAGAGGAGGTCTTCCCATTCCTCGGGCACCGAAAATTCATTCGAACTTCCAATTTCGATGGCAGAAGCCAGTTCTTGAGATACAGCGGGGCTAGGAGCGGCCTGGCTGTCGGCAGGTTGACTAACTGGCTCTTTCCGTTTGCCCGCTGCTTTTTTCGACGCGGTCCTGGCCGCGACATTCAGCTTGCCGTTTGGTTTACCATTCACCTTGCTGATGGCCGCCTTCCCAGCTCGCTCCTTGTTGGACTTTTGCTCGGCCTCCTTCATTTTGGCCATCCTCTTCAGTTGACGCTTCGAAGGGCAAGCGCAGGGCTCCTTGCATCCGCAAGCTTTGGTGAATATATCCGGCTGAAAGGGTAAGTCATCTTCGTCTCTCTGCCAGTCACGAGTCAGCAACCACCATACAAACAAGCCCAGAATTATTCTGCGGGGACAGAAATTAGTTGGCGCACGAAATTAGGCAGCGCTGCAGCAGGAAATTGTGTGCGCACACACGTGTGCTCCCTGGCAGGAGCGGTTGCGGAGTAAACTTACCCATAAACAGCGATAGCACTGATCAACATGGGCGAAGGATATTTTATAAATGAAGGTACCCTGGAACCTATTGGTCTGGGTCTGCAATTGGGCGCAGTACCCGGCTCTTCTACTCGGAATTAAACTTCTGGCGGACCTGCCAAGTGAAGGATACAGTGGAGAGGAGTCCAGCTATAATTTGGATCGTACTGCAACTCAATTTCGAACCAATACCAAAGTGCGCGAGGAAGTGCGTCAAATAGTCACCAGCGGGCGGGGTGTCGACGCGCTGTTTTCGTGGTTCAGCGGACGAACTGACGCCACCAGGAACTCAATACAGATTATTAAAGTGGGCACGGGGTTATCTGAAGGACAGCGCGTGTCTGATGGACAGAATCTGTCTGAAGGACAGCGCGTGTCTGGCGGGCGGCGCCTTGATGCGCTACCGGGTGCGTCGGTCCGAGCGGACAAAACCGTGCATGATGGCGACGACAGCGGTGTTCATTCACGGCCCCGTTGGGGCGAATTTCTGATAGTGGTCTCACCACCGGGCGGTGACAGCCGCGATTCAATCATTGTGAGTACGGTGTACAGACGTAACCCTTTGGCTACAGGTGATGGTAAACAAACCTCGGCTGAGCGGACCATAGCTGAGAGGGCTATGGGTGAGCTGGGGCTGGTTCCAGAAATGGTCGATGTGGCGTTCCAGTTGGCAGGCGTGGATTGGTTGGCGAAGACAGTGTACTTCCAATTTACTCCGGACTATTACTTCAGTCAGGGAGCGAAACGTTTTCTAGACTGGTACTTGTACGACGAGGATACCGAGCTTTATTCGGAAGTAACGCGTAATGGCATCGTGCGGCAGGCGTTGTGTGTATTGCCCTTCAACGAACACGTACAACGCTACAGTTCATTCCCTTGGGTCCACTCGTTCGCCGAGGAGACGTCACGACGTCGGCGAGGAAGCAGTGGGGCGGGGGGTCTGCAGATCCACACGACGAAGACGGGTCCGAGGAACGCCAATGTCGACTTCGTCCTCAAAAGTGCCGGTGACCAGGCTTGGCTGGCGCCGCTGCGAACCCAAGTTGCCCGCGAACTCAACGGCTTCGCGCTCCATCTACCACACACCTACTTCGCCGAAAAACTCATCGACGCTATTACCATCCAACCCTTCATCAACAATACCGCTCACCACTGGGACGTCGACCACTCAAACGTCGACCACTATTGGAACATGGAGCAGACCCCGCCAGCAATCCAGGCGGAACTGGAGCAACGCAAAGATGACCTCATCCGTCTCTTTGGCGCCCTCCTGCGAGCTAACAACGAAATGGTCCTCCACTTCCACCACCTCAGCTCCCAACACTGGATCACCGAAAACCGCAGAGTCGTCACGGCCGCCTCCACTCTACCCGGCGTCATCTTTCTCGTCGTGGCCCTCATCTCCTCCGCCTACTCCGAACCCTTCCTCGACCACCTCCCCGCGGCCCACACCTCAGACCAGGACTCAATCCTAGGTGGCGACCGAACCCACCCAGACGACCGGGGTCAGCACGACGACCGGGGTCAGCATGACGACCGGGGTCAGCATGACGACCGGGGTCAGCACCACGACCGGGTTCAAGACCACGACCGGGCTCAAGATCATGAGGACGACCGAACTGTTCATGAGGACGACCGAGCTGTTCATGAAGACCGGACCTATCACGGCTACCCGCAGGACGACTCAAGTGTACGGCTGCGCCACCCGGTGGATAGCTTGGCCTCGGGTAGTTTGGGCTCAGAGACTGACTTGGCTTCGCGTTCACAAGACGGACGGGCAAAGGCTCGGCTTTGGTGGCAGCTGAGTCCATTGGACCGCGGGTTTTACAATGAGCCGGTCTGGAAGCCACAGGCCGCACTGGGTCGTGTGCCGGCTGCGTTAAAGCTCTGGGTCGTGGACGCAGCACCGTCCGATCTCAAGCCGCTCGGAGTCGGCGAGAATCTCGTGGGTGGCTACGTGACCACGATGGTTTACGTCGCGGGATTGACGACGGTGCTGCATCTCGCAGTCCAGCAAAGAAGTCCTGATCTAGTCTGTCCCGAGACCCCGGAGTCGCTCTTGGGTTTTGTTCTCCAACATCTCAGCTTCAGCACGGCCGCTGGCCTGACTGTGTTCGGCGTAGGCTTCGTAGCACTTTTACTCTTCACATACTGTACCCGACGAGCGAACAAAACCCACCGCTGGACACTGGCTCTACTCTGCTGGTTAGACATGGTCGCCCGCGGTTGCAACTTGGTCATCACCGCTCTCCTGGGCACGCTATACGTGAGCAACACAGCACCAGGGCATGACAACCGTGACCACAGGCAGCGCACGATAAGACACAGACACAAGAGGTCACGCACGTGTGTCCAGTGGATCTGTTTAATGCTTGTTCGATGTAGGGTCTGCAGCCCTCGTTGGGTCTGTTGGCGCTGCTTACGGTGCCGGTGGTGGCGGTGTTACCGGTGCCTGTGGGCTGGTTAGTGTGTCTGCTAGGCGCGAGTCGTTACCGTTTCGGCGTGGGTGCCGCGTTGCGGCTTCCTTTATTGGACGAGTTGGTGGGGAGCTGCTTGTCGGCTGACGTCGTCTTCGGGACGCCGTTGCTAGCAGAAGTTTGTGGACTTACGCGTGCGCCCACATACTCGGTACTGATGCTGTTAGTGGTCGTGACTTTTTTGCAGGTGCTGTGCCGAAACATTCTCTTCTTGGCCCGCGTGGTGTGTCAGATGCGGCGGCACGGTGAGGCGTGAGTAAGGAACCGACGGCAAGGTCCAGCGAGGGGAAGGTTCAGCGGTGGCGAGAGATATGTTGGCTCATAGTACGGTGGGGGGGGGGGATGCGCT